AAAAAATCGTTTCAGGCGAGACTTTATGAGGGTAGAAACCTATACTGAAATCGTAATAATATATTGTTATTAATTATTATTATCATAATAAACGATATGTACAATATTATGTCGATCGACGCACAGCCGCATTATTTCGACTTTGATATTGCTCAATATTATAATATTACGAGGGCTTGTACTTATACTATAAACGAGTTAAAAAGTTGAGTTCATTTTAACTTTTTAGCTTGACTTTTTTAATTTAATTTTTAACTTTACTGATTTCCATTGATATAAACTAAATAAATAACGAATTACTTTTAATCAAATTACGTCAATTTATAAAATATAATCATATAATAAATATACTAACACGCACTACATACTCGATCGCCCTCACGGCATCTAAGAAATTCTCAACAAATCTAAAATATTATCAAATTCATTTAAAATGTAAACAGCGAATTTTGTACCTATATAGTTTAATTAACATACAATGTACATTTTTATTGTAAATAGTAAAACATTTTTGTATGACATACATGTACAAAAAAAATAATGTTGGGTTTCAATTAGTTGTTGAAGCCGGAAAAATATTAAATAAAAAAAAATTAGGATAACTATTGACTTTAAACTTTTTTAAATTTTTTCTATTGACTTAACACTCAATTAACACTTTTTCAGGTTTGCAGTTAGGAGTTACAGTATAGGTACCTATCTATTTAATATTATGATCATTCCGTACGAACGTTGTTGTTTTCGACGCTGTTTATCGGTTATAATATATAATATTTTATATCAATGTATTTTCACCACGTCAAAATAATTGCCTGGCTAGACTACGGAAGTATAACCGCCGGCGATTATCATACACGCCAAAACCTTCGAACTGCGACCGCGGTTGCAGGTTTACCTGTACGTACGATGCGGTTTCCTAGTTCGATATTCCCATCATATTTATATATATACATTGTGGGATCGGTGGCCGCCATTCCAAGTGTATATTGACCAAACGATACCGTGGTAATACACATCAACGAGTACCGGAGTACACGACTAGCTGTCTTGGGAACGGGTTTCCACCACGTACCGTGTCGTGTAGTGCAGTTTAATATAGTTGACTTGTAAGATTACCGAAATTTTGTTACCTATACATTTTAAACAAACGGATCATGACAAGACAAGGTCCTAGTGGAAACCCGACGTTATCCGAGGGTTTCCACTATACACGTTTTCCGTGTACACGAAAAATGTTCAGCTATGTCCAACAACACGGTATCGTGGTTAATCGTGCGGTAGCTTAACCTAACCAACCAATCACAGCTAAGGATTTGTATGCATGTACACACGTGCGTGTATAGTGGAAACCCGTCTTTAGGCCTATATATTATATCCACATGACATGAACAAACACCGCGTCAACATTTCAACAAGACGTTTTTGTTACCCAATACCTGGTATGCTGCAACTGATTCTTCTGGTTACCGACAGCAGAAATTACGTTTTACGAGTGCCTGGTAATTTATTAGTGACCCTAATTTTTTGAAAACATTTTGTTATATTAACTTATAATAGACATTTTTTGAATCACTCTCTTCAAGCAAAATGACACATAAAAAAAATAATTGATTTAAAAATTTGAAAGAATTGTTTTCAAGTAATAAAATATGTCACACCTATTTACAACGAAATCTTTGATGTTAGTTATGTACTAGCTAATTTATCGTAATCCATAAACAAATAGTTCCTGAAATTTAAAACTGTCACAAACTTTCGTAGTAAATAGTAATAATATAACATAATATAACATAATATAACATAATATAACATAATATTATAATCATTACAAAATGTTACAAAAAAATGCAATTGTTTTATTTAGAAACTTCTAAGTTTTCTATATTTTTGGTTGTTTTTAAGATTCATATTTTTGTGAAATTACACTTAAGTAGGTACAAAGTCAAATAAAATAATGAAAAATGTATTTAATGTTCAAACTTTGTCGATATTAAAATTAAAATGTATTAAAAATCCTTTGTCCGGGATTCATACGTTTTGGCATAATAATAACACAGCTTTATGGTGGAGCACAGTTTTAGTTTTGTTAGAGGTCAATATTTACATCAGAGAAATATTAAACTGCATTGCTACTTTGAAACACGATAAAAAAGTATTATTATTTTTCGTTTTAAGAAAACACGAGCTATTAAAGCAACCCGTTGGCCATTACTAGTTCATGGACAATGTACTGTGTACACTGTACAATATAAATTATAATAAAGTTGTACCAATGTCATGTTCAATCAGTTGCTGATATTGTAAACATAATTAATAAAAGTATAGGATTGTCTTAGAATGATATCCTGTAGGTACGTTGTAGGTATTATACAGAATGATTCAATAAGCATGCTCACCCACATGTTTTCCTTTAATGATAAATATATGATATAATTCAAATTCTGATTTTGGGAATTTTTAATTATATTCAAAGACCATTCTAAATTTTGAATTTTTTTTTGTACGTTGTTCTTAAAAAGTGTCCTGTGGTGACTCAAACTTTTGTTTTTCAAATGAGAACCCCCCTCTCCTTTCAAATGCAATTTATTTACTAGATAATTTTTCTGAAAATGTGGACGTATTAGAAACAAAATTGAAAAACAAGAAACTTTTGAGTAGTTATTTTGTGTATTAAGGATATAAGGTTATAAGGATATAAGGATAATGGGTTTGGAAGATATTATGGTGGATGGCGGGGTGATTTAAAAATGTTGGAAATCAATACTAATTTATCAAAATTAATAATTTGTAAAAACGGTTCAAGTATAATAAATACTAGATATCCAATAGGTACTAAATCTGTTTCATACTTTTGTAAAACCATTTTAAGGACTATTATCCTTAGAATAAACACTTTAATAACTGAAAAAATACTTGTTCGAATTTTAAATAGGGCACATCAAAAATTTCGAAAAAAAAAATCCACCAAATAATATAAGTACAGTAAAAAAGGAGAAGATCTTTTTCGAAAAACAGAAGTTTGTATCGCCACAGGGCACTCCTTAATTAGAACAAAAAAAAAAAAAATAAAGAATTTGAAAAAAAATCTTAGAGCATATTCCAAAATTCAGTATTTGAATAATTAAAGGAAAAAATGGGGGTGATCATGCTTGGCGAATCACCCTGTATAATATTTGATTTTGAAATATTACAGTACACGAAACAAATTACATTATAGACTTTTATTAACTACCACAATTTACTGATAGAAAAGTATAATATTATTGTTTTTGCTATTTTTTTGTCTCACTGGTTTGTCTTCCACAACTGTGTTAGTTTCCCTGTCTTGACCTCGAATTTCTTAAAATAGCTACCGTGTTGAAAGTGTTATTGTATTGAGTTTTAACGCTTTGCATTTGTTCTATAATACTGGTTATACATGAAATGTATACATTATAGGTACATTAATCGCATAGGTATTTATACCGATATACTCATCGCTGTTGAAAAGAAATGAATTTCCATTCGTGAAATTAATACAACCGATGATGTTAACATCAAAATATTAAATAATTACCTACAGTAGAAAATAATATTTACCTATTATTTTCGGCGTTATTTAACTAGAACCGACTTTATATTCACTTTTTTATCACGGCATGTAACCATTGTATTACTTGTATACATAAACTCATCGAAAAATAATGGAATAATATGTTATGAATAATATGAACCTGTCGGTATTAATTGTTATGATCAGCTTATTAAATTATATAATTATCTATTATATAACTAAACATTTTCCTTATTTAGTTCAATTCATTTAGATTTATTAAAAAAAAAAGTGGGCTTACAGGTAAGTCTACACATTTTTACACATTATCTTTTTGTTGCCTCTATAGTTCGATTTGGCATTGATCATCAACTTTTAATTATAATATTGCATTAATCTAATGTTAAACTTGATAATTTTGATAATGTTTTATATTTAAATATTTAATCAAATAAAAAAACTTTTTTTTTTTTGTTTTGTTAATTTTTAATATACCTACTATTGATTATACGTACTAATTAGTAAAACTATATAGTAATACGTTCTCGATGTTTACCCATCAACGTTTCCATTCAAGCTCATTTGTATATAGTACAATTTATTACTATATATTATGGCAGCAAATTTAATCGGTGCCAGTGCCTATAATAGGTACTGTAGTATTATCCATGGTTGCAACAGTTTAATGATAAATATTTTTCTACACATCGTGATAAATGTATGATATAGGTAGGTATATAATGAGATTAATGATGTTTACAATATCTATATAGTTATCAATCATAAAAGTGCTGCGATAACTTGATCACGTGAATTTTATCTTTAATTTTTTATCGAGGAATAGGTTTTTGTATTTTGATGTAATTTTCTAGTTTTTTTGAAATTATGTGTTTGAGTTATATTATTTTATAAACTATCTTACAAAACTTTTAACAGCATTGAGTGTGATGAGTACAAAAACAACTTTTAAAAAAATGAGATATGCAAATGAATAAATCAATACATTATATTATTTTACAAATTATTCAATTATATAATATAATATTATAAGCTGATCATCACAATTAATACCGGCAGGGCTATACTCATAACCAGGGCTCGGAAGTTCTAGCAAATGCATATTTTTATTGGTTCGTCCTAGAACATCCAAGGTAAGATACAAATATGTTTCACACTTCTCTGATGTCATACACGAAATTTTATTTTGCTATTTTTTGCATATTTACGGTTTTTACTGCTATTTTGCTAATTTTAGGTTTTTAGTGCTATTTTTGGGTATATTTTCACATAAATACATATTATAGAAGGTATTTTGCTAATTTTGGAGTTCGAATTCGTCGTATTTACGTAAGATACGGCGCTATCGCCGTACGTAAAGACCTATGATTTTATTTTAGTTGTCTGCGTATTGCCGTCATTTGTGTGTTGTGCGTTTGATCGTGAACTATCGTATTTATCGTGTTTAAAAATGCCTAAAGTTAAACAAAATTTGTCAAATCGGCTCCAAACCTATGTTAATTTATATGGTCCTAAAATTTTTTCAATTGATAAAAGTGTATTATTTTGTAAAATGTGTGAAGTCAAAGTTAATTCTGACAAAAAGTTTAACGTATCACAACATATAAAAAGTGACAAACATATCAAAGGCCTTGCCCGATATGAAAATCAAATAAATCGACAACAACAGCAGTTATTGACAGCGACAAGTAATATTAGTAAAAAATCGTAATTTAATAAAGATTTGTGTGAGGCTTTTATTTCTGCTAAAATTCCTTCAAACAAGTTAGAAAACACAAAATTTAAAACATTTTTGGAAGGTTATACAAAAAATGATATTCCGAGTGAATCCAAGTTGCGAAAAGGATATGTGGATGATATTTACAATGAGACCATGGATAAAATTAGGAAAATAATTTCTGACAAAAAAATTTGGGTCAGTGTCGACGAGACCACTGATTATGTACAGGGTCGTTACATTGCTAATGTAATAGTAGGCAGTAGGCACTCTTGAGGAAAATAATGCAGGCAATATGTTTTTACTTAATTCGGAGGAACTAGAAAAAGCTAACCACTAAATGAAATTTTATTTTGCATATTTTCCAATTTTTAGTGCTATTTATAGCGCTTATATTAATGTTTTTATGTGCATATTTAAGCGCTAAAAATTAATTTTTTTAGTGCTATAACTTCCGAGCCCTGCTCATAACATATTATTGCATATTATTTATCTAAATAAATACCATGGCTTGAGCACTACATTTTAAACTACCTACAAATTAATTACGGTTTGGTCAAAATTTGATATTTGAATCCTTATAAAAAATATATATTATAATAAAATGTATACTACTACATAATATTTCAACCCATTAACTTTAAAGTTTATTATAATAGGGATATATTATATTAATTATTTTTTATTCATATCATCTAAAATGTTTTAACAATTTAAATATGTAATTACAATTATAATTGTGCAAATCTATGTGTATAGAGCGCTAATGTCCAAGTCCTCGAAGCGAAACAAAGATAGTGATTAAAAAAAATAGTGGAGATAATAATACACATCAAACATATTATGATAATATAATATGAGATACACAATTATTATTATTTCTTTTATTAACTGGAATCAATTATTGATCTACGAAAAATGTATTACGTAAAACGTTAATTCCTTTCAAAGTTCCATCGTAAAATTGTAAATAATTTCGTCAGATCTGAAATTGTTTATCGGCCGTTGTGGAAATAATAATTTTCGTCCATAAAGATAATAATAATAATAGTAATAATAATAATAATATGTTATTTTATGTTTATTATAAGTTTAATCGGCCTAACCCAATGCAGTAAATTGTACAACAATAATCATTTAAATAGGACGCTCTGTGCGTCAAATATAATATTATCTATAATACTGACCTAAATAGTGTGTTAAATATTAATAATTAGAAACTTTTAATAACTGTAAAATTATAAATAAACAATTATATTTTAATGCTAAGTAGTCTGATAAAAATAATAATATAGGTAGGTACATAATATATTACCTATTATGTCAAAATATATTTAGATAAATAAAGTTCCAAGAACTTACGTTTTAATAAATTTAATTTTTTTTTTTTTAAAAAGCTGAAGAGTGTACCATACACACGAAGACAGTGGATAAGAGGTCAACATCTAATTTAAAATACCGAAAAGCCGCTCCTAAACGCTCCCAAACGGTAGGCAGAAGTTATCAGAATCTAAAACACGTGCAAAATCATCATAAAAATGTGAGTACTAAACATAATTGATTCGCGTAGTAATAATTTACTACAAAACTGAGAAAATGATTGATTAGTTTTCGCTGTTAATTATCCTGGGTTAATTATTCAAAGTTCCCAACACCAATCTACAGCTGAAAAGTATAATTATTTGTACACTAGCTGATCCCATTGATAAACTGTTAACACTCTTTATTTCTAAAAGAACTAACGTTTTCGGAAATATTTTCTTTTTGTATACTTTACTGTTACAAGTTTTTGTTTGGACATAAACGTACAGAAGCAAATTTTAAACGCTCAATATTAGTTGTAACTTACAATTAGTATTTCATGTTTGTATTATAGCCGAGTGGTGGAGCAATGTTTTTGGAGGGGTATCGCTGTGAAGTTACACTCCTCTCATCTATTCTTAAAATTCTACTAATATTAAAAACTCGTAGGAAAATTTAATTTTTATGTTTTAAAATTCTCAGAAAAACATTCAGCATTTGAGTATATGTTTGTAATTAAAATGTGTGTTTTCTGCCAAAAAGTAAAAACTTAAAAAAAATTATAACGGTTAGGTTAGGTAGGCTAGGTAGTAAAAAATTGTTTTAACATAAATATGTTTTTAGTTGGCGATACACGTTTTTTTCGTAAGGTTTTCGTTATCATGGTAACTATTATTCACAAAAAAATATATATTTATAATTCATCATAGATTCTCCTCGTAGAGGAAAAATATTAAATATTTTTTTTTGGTTTTATGATGTTTAAAGTATGTAAAAAAATAATACCATTCAAAACCGTATAAGTTTTTTAAATGTTTAAATGCGTGTTCGTCATTAAACTAATCATCGTGTGCTTAAATACTTGCAGAAAGCAAAATTCGGTCTTTCTAAAAAAATCGCTAACCATGACGATTATTTATGCGAAACCTTTTTGTATTTTCAACGAAATATTGAGACCGAGATCTATTAATACTCGGGTAATTATATAAAGTATAACCTTATAAAGGTTCAATCAGTTATTGAAAAACAGTCACCTTATCACATTATTATATAAGCCATATTCCGTTGTATATAATAATTGATATAGCGTTTCCTCGTGTCTGAACGGCACTGTTCCCGTTTCACAAACATTGACTTATTTTTTATTCGTTATAACTTATAAGCAGTCTTCTCTGCGCGTACTGCTCCAGCTCGAGTCCGATTTAATAATAATATAATAGTATTATTATTATCGCTGCCCGACCCTGAATCCTGATATTTAACCTTCGGACTTTGCTCCGAGATGATAAATTTATCTTTTGCAATGATCGGTGTGATCTCGAATGTGTGTGTGTGTGTGTGTGTGTGTGAGAGAGAGAGAGGGAGAGAGAGAGAGAGAGAGAGAGAGAGCCGTATCTATAAATGAACACTATATTATTATAATAAATACAGAGCATATATTTAATTAATTGTATATTATGATACGCTGGTATATTATTATTATGATTACATTTTATTAACCGAGATTCAATTGCTGTTTTTTTGGTCTTTGCCCATCGGTCAACTTTGTTTCGTCAAACCTCCTCAGCGACAACGATCTATAATAGTATATTTTATATTATAATAATAAAATAAATATTTTTACTCAGTTTTAAATGTTTAACCATCCGAAAAAAAAATACTTGTGTACCTAAGTTTTCAGAAGTTTGTACCTACGATGAGACTACGAAATCAAAATGTCGCAAAGACGTGACTATACACATATTATGTTATTTGTATAATATGGCAATTGAGCAAAACCGTTTAGTACTGCAATAGGTAGTAATAGTACAATCCTCCGGGATGTCCGAAAAACGATCGCCAAAAATGAATTGATCGTCTTCGAGATGGTTTTGGTGCACGGAAAATATATATCTTAGACAAACGACATAATTGTCCTTTTCAGCTAATGTGCGATCCTATACTATGTATATCGCATATATCATACTAAGTACCTGGTATACCGCAGTTATATACCGAGTGATTCATTGAACTTAAAACACTCGTCACCTATTGAAAAATTATACGAATGTTTTTGAAAATATTATTTTTACACAGTTTCAGGTCGTTACAAAATAACGTTTTTTTTATTAAAAAATCATATTTTTCATCCTTGTGATATTTTTTAAGTTTTTTACTTTTTTGAACTACAAAATATTGATGTTATAATATACAGTTTTAATTTCATCTTCGAAAGCAGAATACTTTTCCGAGTATTTCGATACATAAAAATCTTTCATTTTAGTACCTATAGGTTATAAATTATAATATAGTTATCTATTTCTCACGTCTTGTTTTTATCGTACAGAAATTTATATACATAATAATATATAGGTATAACTGTATAAGGTACCTACCCTGCGATGTACATCGATAATTTTCCGAGGGTATCAAATTTCATGAGACGATAATTTTACTTTTAATCATTTGAAATGTAAATGCAATGCATAGATTACTATAAATGTCATAACACTTTGGCAATTTAATAATTCGTATCGGAAAATATTACTATTTCTATAACTACCAAGATATACTTACTTAAATGTTTAAGAGGATGTTATAATAGCCATAATTTAAATTGTCATTTAAATATTTATATAGATCGATAAAATTATACGGGTATGTGTTATTCTCAAATGCTAATTAAAATAAATGTTATACTTTCTAGCTAAATACAGGCGATAATGTGCTGTCGATGTCGACAAATAGAAAAGCGATTTAAGAGTCTAAACTCTAGACATAAAATAATGATGTAGACATTAAAATTTGTCAACAAATTTACGATTTAACAAATTTATGATTAAAATAGCGCTGTACCTTTCATTATCGATAGTGCCGATATTATTATGGCTGATTTATGTACAACGCGTTATGGGCCTGCAGCAGTGGCGTAGCCAGGGGGGTGGTTAAGGGGGCTATAGCCCCTCCCATTGACCGGTGTTGACCTTAGAATTTTATCAAGATTAATAAAAAAAATAAAAAGCCTAAATGAAAAACCCATTGTATTTGTATACTTAGCCCCCTCCCCCCATAAAAAATTCCTGGATAGGCCACTGGCCTGCAGTGGGTGTTGTAAAATATTAATTTAAAAACGAGGTGTATGGATAAAAAAAAATACTATAAATTATTAAAAACTTTGGGTTTTCATTTGAAAGTTAAACTCATATTTCGAGCCAAACAAAATAAATATGAGAATTTTTGGGTCGAATCGTTTTTGCCCCTTATATTATATTAAATTACTATCATATTTTTCTTATGGCAGGGGATGTGTATTATAATTTATAAACATCACGGACAATACTATGAGATTATTTGACAGTTTTATGCACAAACCAGGTTTGATAAATGTAAAATATTTGCGATACCCTCTGTATACAATTATAATATAACAATAGTTGAATATTGTACCTTATATAAGTACATAATATAACAATACATCAAACAAACAATTATTT